AGAGAGAAAATACCTAAAGGTCTCTAGAATACACAACTGTAAGAAGTCACACCTTGGCAGGAAACGCATCAGTGTATCACCGTCCCCAGTGGCTGCAGCTGCCCCGGCACTGTCATCAGCATAGGCCCCAGATCCAGGAACTGGAGAATCTCCTACACGACTTTGTGGGGTAAGGGATAGTGATTTAGGACAGGAAATCAAGCGCAAACTAAGTTATGTCATGAGCTGTTTTCAAAAATAGGGCATATTTCCACTTAGCCATTGATTATCATTTAAAGTAATTCTTCATCAGAACACAAGAGGAAAGTCTGCATTCATTTTTTTACCTTAGGTTTTCACAAACCTATGTTAATTGTACAACAATTTGTTATTAGACATGGAGTGTAAAAAAGGTGAATTCAGAAACAGATTAAAGAGGTGGTTACCAGAAGCCAGGGGTTTGGGGGATTGGGAAGATATTGGTCAAAGGACTGTATGTGTATCATGGTTAATAGTTAACAATAATATACTCTATACTTGAAAGCTGCTAAGAGTATATATATACTTTCTTTGTTTTTGTTTTTGACATAGGGTATCACTCTGTCACCTAGGTTAGAGTGCCATGTTGTCATAGCTCACAGAAACCTCAAACTCTTGGGCTCAAGTGATCTTCCCAGCTAAGCTTCCGGAGTACTGCGCCCACCATAATGCCCCAATAGTTTTTTTTATTTTTAGTAGAGATGGAGTCTCACTCTTGCTCAGGCTGGTCTGGAACTCCTGAACTCAAGGGATTCTCCCACCGTGGCCTCTCAGAGTGCTGGGATTATAGGCATGAACCACCACACCCAGCCAAGAGGAAAGTGTTTTCATGCCCCCCCACCAAACAAAGATATGTGAGGTACTGTATGTGTTAAGTAGCTTGATTTAGCCTTTCCACAATGTGTGCTTATTTCAAAACATGTTTTATACCATAAACATATATACTTATTGCTGATTAAAAGGAATTAATGAAGAGGAATTTTTTATCAGCCAGTTAAATACCCAGACAGCACACGTTTATAGTGACCTGTCTGTTATTACCACTCTTTATCACCCAACTTCTGCATTAACTCACCAGGTTCAAAACTAGTTTCCCTTATCATCATCTATTCCAGCTTCCGACAATAAATAAACAAGTGGTAAACATTTACTAAATTTTTTCTAGTAAGAAACCTTTAATACTTTACTACTATTTCAAAGTAAGAGCCAGAATGCCATACACTGACTTAGGACACCCTGAATTGGGCTCAAGTCTCCCCTTCAGTCTTATCTTCCACCACTCTCCCTTACCCAGTCCTACTTTCTATCTGCTAGTGCCTTTACCTGTGTCTTCCCCTTGCCCTTCTGTGGGCTCAGGGCTCAGCTCCCAGCGTTACTTTACTGGCTTTCCTAAGTACCCCAGCTTAAACAGATAACCTGCACCCCCTGAATTCTACAGTCCTGGCTGTGACTCACTCTCGTTTGGCTTAGCAGAGAGCATCGTATCTGCTTTCACATTCATTTACTTCACCCTCCAGAACACCCAGCACACACTGCTTTATACTCAATATACACCACAGAGTTGGAGACACTAACCCATGTATCTTGAATTTTAAACCATTGGTAGATGTACCAGCAGCAGTACGTCCCTTCTTATGGATTACAACCATGCCTGGAAGTTAAAAAAAATGACTTGTAGATATCTAAAGTTTATTTCAAATGTAACCAAATAATTGATGAACTGGGAATTGCTACAGTCTAAGTATCTGTGTTCCCCCAAATTTATATATTGAAACCCTCCCTGACAAGGCGACAGCATTAGGAGGTGGGACCTTTGGGAGATGATTGAGTCATTAGGGTAGAGCCCTCATAAATAAAATCAGCATCCTTATAAAAGACGCTCTGAAGAGCCTGCTTGCTCCTGCTACTGTACGGACACAGTGAGAAGGCACCATCTGTAACCCAGGAATTGGGGCCTCTCCACACTCTGCATCTGCTGGTGCCTTAATCTGGGACTTCCCAGCCTCCAGAAATGCTGGAGGTTGGTCACCTACCCTGTGATATTCTGTTAAAACAGCCCAAACTCACTATGAAAGTCACATAAACATGTACTTTCATTAATTTTAGTAGCAGAAAACAAAAAACTTGGGAATAGGGAAAATTATACCAGTGGACAGTTTGTGTTTTTAATGACCTGGTTTCCCGGCATTAACTGGTAACCATTCTACATCCTTACTCTTCAAATTGCTCGTTACTCTTCAATACAATTTCAAAGGTAATTCCAAATAAGATGACTGATATGGACTGCTATGGTCTGAATGTGTCCCCTAAAATTTCATGTATTGAAAAGTTAATTGCCATTTTTACTTTGTTAACAGGGGAGCCTTTAAGAAATGATTTAATGCCATTATCTCAGGGAGGGGCTCAGTAATCACAGGAGTGGGCTCCTGACAAAAAGGATGAGTTCAGACTGATTCCCTCTCTCTTCCCCTTTTGCCGTCAGACACAGAATGACCTTCACCGAATGCTGGTGCCATGCTCTTAAACTTTCCAGTCTCCAGAAATGAGCCAAATACACTTCTATTGTTTATAAATTAGCCCATCTTTAGTATTAGAGCAGCAGAAAATGAACTAAGGCAGACAAATGAAATTTTTCAATCTTACAGCTTAGAAAAAAGTATTTAAGGTCACTTGAATATGGCAAACAACATAAAATTTATCAAAAAACTAAGTATCAAATAAAGATTTAAAAATCTACAAGTAAACAGTCACTGCATTTTAGGGGTCTTATATAAATAATTTATAAAACACAAACAAACAAACAAAAAATAAATAATTTACAAAATGTCACCCAGAGGCCATCCATGCATCTGTGTATCCATCCATCTATCCAGCTCTCTATCTTGGGGAGGACACTTACTTGGCAGTTAAGGACAATCAAAACCAACTGCTGGTGCATGATTAGAGGTGAAGAGAATCTACAGGAAGGCAATTAATTACACTTTAACCATTAAAACTGTATAAAAGGCAAATTACCAATAGTGTCATGACCATGGTCATTTCTTGTTCCTTTATAGGGAGAATCCTCCTGCTTTAAGATATTAGCTGGTTTGTAGGGTCCACAGTATTTTGAGGGATCTGGTATAACATTCTGTAAACAAGATTTATTTCTTATAAGAGTGTTTTTAGAAACTGGCAAGTAGCTATGCATAGTTACTACGTGCTAGAAGAAACCAATTAAGATGGATGGTAGCGCAAAAGAATTAAAAGCTAAGGATTAAGGAAGTCTTATGTAAAAAGAGATGAATATATAATTTTTCTCTTTCAGAAAAGGTTTTATAGAAATATCCTTTCTAGTCTCAGAATTACATAATATGGTAAGATACCTATATTCCACGGAACAGGCCTGATTTTTCATTTTATATTCCTCAAATTCTCAGCACAGTGATGGATATAAATACTTTTAAAAAATTAGATATTGATCCTCAAAGGAATTAGGTGCACACTTGACCTTTAAATTTGAGAATTCCTTTCCTAGCCAAAGAATTCTGAGATTTAAAGTAAAATTGGTATCAAAATCATTTTTTTATTTCCAAAGCCAGGTTTATGTGACTATATTCTAAATTGTAGAATATAGTCTACATAGACTGCTGTAAGACTGCTGTATAAATCTTAAAGACTCAAAAAATAATAGATTTAGGCTATTTATATAGATTGGTATTAAAGCAAGAAACCTACTACTCAGGGCTTATACATCAGTGCATGAGGTGCCTCCTCTAACTTTGTTTTATGATTAGCCTCTTTCAAGGGCTGACCCAGTGACTCCTGACTCCATGGTTACTCAAAGGTATTTGGAGCTTGAGGAAGAAACAGATGGGAGACTAAGATATCCCACAGAAGGGCCCTGTATGGCAGAGGCAAACTGAATTATACTTCAAGTCCCATTTTAGACAAATTATCTCACCAGCAACATACTAGACACCTAAGAGTATAAACCTTTAAGACAAATAAAGACATCAGATATACTGTGCATAGATAAAAATCTAAGAAATATTTCCAATTTGGGTTTTTCTTTTTTTATTTTGTGACAAATAAATATAAGCAGTTCTGACTGAGGCAGCCCCCTCTCCACAGAAGAACCTTCTTATGTGAAAACTCCTGCCAGAGACCAGCAGTTCTCCATCCTGGAATGTGCACTGGATGCAACATGGGAACCTTCACAACAGCCACGCCCAGAGGGTCAACTTAAATCACTGGTTCTAGTGTGTAACCAGGACACTAACCAGCACCCTTGACAGGCAGCAGGTAACAGAGAACAGAGGGGATGCCAGTTAATATTTTCAGATAATTTGCACTTTAAAATTAAGTGTTATATACCCTCCAATAATTTGGCTGGCAATTCCGAGCATGCCAGCCTGAATGAAGAGCTCGAGAAGCTTCAGTAGATAAATCCTCATTGATAAACCCCATGCTTTCAGCAAACTTGGTGGCTGGAGATTGAGAAGAAAAGTGTTAATCAAGTGTTACCTTTTAAACAAAATATATGTACCAAAGGCATCCTACATCAGCTGTCTCTTAAGTGAGGTGCATAAAGTCACCTGGGGGACATACAAAGTCTTTTAGAGGAGTCTTCGGACATGATCAGTTTTAAGGGAATCAATCTCTAGGTCTTAAATTTTCCTATGTTTTTTCTAAAAGCGATCTGTCGGAGACCCGTGGGTATGTGTTAGGACAGTTCTCCTTTCTTACTTCACCTCACATCTTCCTCCTACTGTTTTCTCCCCCTGGTTAACAGGGAGCACTTTTATTTAAGAAGAACAAAGAGAAAGTGTACAGCACTTCCAAAGACAGTTGGAAGTGGATTCCTCTCAAGGAGGAGAAAAAGTGAGACTCCTCCTACCATTTTGCAAAAGAAAAGGCACATTTCTTGCCAACATTATCCCCCATCAGTGTGGAGTGCCCAGGATTTAAAAAATTTAAAGACACCAGACAACTGAATTCCAATGAATAGGTAACATCTTTTTTACCTGTTAGGTAGTTTCCATTCTGTACAATCAACAGAAGGAAGCCTAATGCAGTAGTTAGATCATATGTCACTGATAATTTTTAACTACAGGGGACAGTATCATTGTCTCTTTTTTGGAGACAGTCTCATTTTGTCACCCAGGCTAGAGTTCGGTGGCGTCACATAACTCATAGCAACCTCAAACTCCTGGGCTCATGTGATTCTCTTGCCTCTGCCTCCCAGAGAGCTAGGATTATAGGTGTGAGCCACCACACCTGGCCATGATTTTTGGCATATAACTTGGAGGGCATTCAAATAATTGACAGAGAAGAAAATGAGATTTAGAAGTTAACTTATCTAGTTAAAAAGATGCTAAGTAAAACAGCCACAATTTGAACTTAGGTCTGCTTTTACCCACTGTTTTAAACTGAGTCCTATTTTCATAGTGAAGACTCATAGTCAGAACCCTAGAAAAAAATTTCAATGCAGTTAAAAAAATACCTGACTCTCCTACTAGGAGTGTGTGTGTTGTATGTTCCAGTACTTTCCGCGCCACACCAATAGCATTTTTAATTCGTCTAAGATCTCCTACTGCTCCCATATCCATGGTAGTGCTGCAAGAAAAAATGCAGTAAGATTTATTAAGGTATTTTCATAGGTTCACAAGTAAGATTGTTTTTCTCTAAGCAACAGTGTTTTGTAGGATAAACTCTCTCATCTTAAGAAGTCACAAGATATTCGTGAATACAGATTCCCACAATCTGACAAAATTAAGGAGAAAATAGAAATATGGTACATTTACCACCTGTATGCCCAATAGCACTAAAATTCTCAGTTTCTCCAGGCTCATTTTAAATATGGCTTTTGAAAGGGGCCCAAAGGCTTCAAGTCAGGCAAAACACATAATCTGTGGATCGTTGCTTAAGATTCTCCCTGTTCTAGAAAGTCTACCTACTGTCCATGTGATACTTCTGTAACTATGATGATTTTTTTCAGTTGTGTTTACCTGTGACAAAACTCATGCATTCTTCTACCTTGCTGTCAGTGGAAGACCAGGACTGTAAACGTAACATAATCCCGAATGAAGGTACAGAGATTAACAGGCACTAGCAAGGCATCTTACCCGTCTATGATCAGGGCGTCCAGGGTGGTCTCTCCAAGTTCATCAGGACTTCCCCCAAAGCCGACAGTGCTGTCACACTGCTCTCTCTCGCACACTGCACAGCCACTTTCCACTGCATCTAGGGCTGAACCTCCATATGCTAATGTCCTCCATGCTGTTAATCAAATCCCAAAAATATTCCTTTATATTTACGTATTTTTCCAATGCCAAATGCAACAAGCAAAAAACATTCTGTGAACTCCAATTTTTAAAAACTTACTCATATTTATTCTAAGGTAAACTGAAAATTTTTATAATTTTTATAAAATTTCAGAATGAGGGTACAATTAGGCTACAATATTTGTGTTTGTTAGGTAAGGTTCCCCTACAACCAGGAGCTGTGCCACGTACCCTTACGTTGTGCCCAAGTGTGTGAGAGCACACCCACTGTTTCTTCCCCCCAAACTTGAATTGAATTGGGTTTTTCTCTTATGTGGGCATGTATCAGATCATCAGCTGGCTTCACACTGAGTACACTAGGTATCGCTTTTCCATTCTCATGATACTTTACTAAGAATGTGGAAAAACTAAATTTTTAACAAATTAGTTTATCAAGTGCTATGAAGAAGTCAGAGTAATAGAGACAAATTATATCACTAGTTACCACGAAGAATTTAAAGACTTTGGCTAATGGTGTGAAATGAGGGTTTCTGCATTTATTAATACCTAGTTCTTCTGTGTACGTGAGAAAAGTAAGAATCCTCTCTTTTTAAAAGGTACAAAGTTACTCAAATTTTAAAACGACTAAATCACAGGCTTGTAAGTTTCTTATACATCATAAGATAAGCAAAAATATGCATAGCTAATACTTTTATTGTGGTGACACTTATCATGGCAAATCTCAATAACATTATAACAGCAAATCAATAATTACAGCATAGGCTTTATATGGGTTAATTCATTTAATCTTCATAACAGCTTTTGAGGTTAAGTACTGTACAATTACAGCCCTTAAAGAGGACACAAAGGCAGAGAAGTTAAGAAATTTGTTCAAAGTCACACAGCCAGTAGGTGGCAGAGCCAAGATTCAAAAGTAGCCACTTTGGCTCCAGTGGACATACTTTGAGCAGGATGTTATATTCTGTGGATCCTTATTTGGGGGAAGGGGGGGTCCTCAAGGGATGATTTCCATACAGATAAAAACAGAATTTCATGAAGGGTAGTTCCTATTGTTGGTAAACACTGAAGCATTACTCAAGCATTACCACTGTACCTCCAGGCCTGAAAGTATATTTAGAAAAGATCCCCCTTTCGAAAAAAGCGACTTACACAGAATTGTCCCCTGCCCAGGCTCATGCACGTTCTCTCCATCATTATCGCTGGGAATATCTTTTTCACATCCCGTTTCCTCATTTTTTCTGAACTGTATGCACTGCCTATAACATACAAATTTAGCTCCCCACGATCCGGAGCCAATTCTGCCCAAAAGAGTAACTTAGCCTCAGGTAGGAAAACAGGGTCTGAAATTAGGTCTTGAAGTCGTAGTACCAAGACAAGGAACGGTACAGGTACGCACCAGATAATGAAAAGGCACATAAGACGGGAACCTAACTCTGATTGGGCATGAAGGCAGTAAGTCAGGGAAGCTCCCTGGAAGAGGTGACACCTTAGCTTGGTGGTTCTCAACCCTAACTGCAATTCAAAATCACGTGGGGAGCTTTTTAAACACAAACAAACAAACAAACAAAAAAACAGGAAAAAAAGATGCCCTGGTTCCCACAACTAAATCACAATCTCAGGAGGTGATTTTTGAAACCACCGGGGAGGACGTTTTTGAAACGCTCCGCAGGTCATTTTAATGTGCAGCCAAAGTTGGAAACTCACATTCTGGGCGGCAGCTACAGCAGGTGGGAGAGAAAATACACTATGACCGGGAAACTATTAATCGTTTGTAAAACGGGAGTACAGGGCACAGCAGAGAATTAAGGGATTAGAAATAACAGGTGGAGTAGCAGATAGCCCGCGGAAAGACTGGGTGTTAGGCCTGCAGGTGCCACTGGAAAAAGAAATGCACAAGGCCATCCATTTTCAGGTCAGCAGCAGGCAGAAGGCACACTGGCGCGGAGGACTGTACAAGGGGAGTAAACAGGCCCCTACATGCAGCACTGGCAGGGAGGATGGAGCAGAAGTCAAACGACGAGAAACAGCAAGAGCTTGAAGCGGCCGCGGCGCTCCCCGGCCGCTCTAGTCCGGCTCTTGCCTGCCTTCCCGGCTCTCACAGCGCAGCCCGCCTCCCGCCCCCGGCCACTGCCGCCCCGCACCTGCTTCGGTTGCATTCTTAAAAGGCCAAGTGTTGAGGACCAGGGGCAGAAGGCCCTGGCCGCGCACTAAGGCCGGACCAAGTAGGAGCGGCACGAGCAGCAGAGGAAAGTTCGACTTCCGCGCCATAGCTGCGCGCCGAGCGGACGAGCGTGAGAAAGGTCGCGACAGCGCGGCCGGCGCAGACGCCGCAGCCGGCTTGGGCGGAATTCGTGTTTCCCCAGATCCCCGCTCACCCCTCCAGCCCCGCCCACTCCCCTCGGGGCGCGGTGGGTGCTGCCTCAACTCTCGCGAGACGCGGCGTTGGAGGGGTTGTCCAGTGGGTTCGGCCGTTGGGATGTTTTTTACCAGGTGCTTTGCAGATTTTTCTGTTTCTTTCTTTCTTTTCTTTATTTTTTTGGACTAGCCACCCTTATTGTTGTTACTTTCTCTGTTGCTATAGGTAGATGGAGCTTTGTGTTGGTAAATTAGTTTGAAATTGCGCGACTCTCGGTTGCGTGACCCTAGGAACCTCAGGTCCCTGCTGTGTACCATTCATTGGTTTTTTGCTTCGCGTTTTAATTTAAAATTGAGGCTTAAACGTTTGCCAAACTCCAAACGGACTCTGGGATTCCCAGTTTCAGGGATCTGGGGGTGGTTATTGAGGGTAGGTGAACCTGTTTGCTTGAGACCAGATTTTTTTTTTTTCATCCAAGCCTGGTGTCGTTTTCCCGTCGCAGCGTTTTGTAGGATGTCCTGGCGGTAAATCCCTGAGCTGCGAGAAAAGGAGACGCAGTTTGGGAAAGCAGAAGTTTACCCTTCGCATGGCTCACTGAAATGCGTGCATCTGCAGAACAAGGTTCCCTCTATCCCTTTTTCAATGTATTTCACCTTAATAGCGCCTGGCACTATTAAGTGCTAAATCAATGTTTGAATAAATTAAAAGGAGGAATGGAGACTTTATCTGCAGGGTAGTGGCTGATGGTTTTGATAGCTGGGCTGCTGGGCAGATGTGCGAGCGTGAATGAGTAATCCCTTTGGGGCTCTAGCCGGCCTGCCCACGTTTGCCAAAGGAAAATGCACAAATAAGTTTTAAGGGCCTTTGTAACTCTATTCAGCCTTTTAAAATATGAACTATGTAAGGAGTTGTGAGGCTTAGAAAACATTCAAGGCTCTTATTGCTGGGAAATTACATATTAATAGCTAATTTAATCAGCATAAGGTAGCCTAGAAGAATTATCCCAAGGCGGGGAAGAGGTATTAAAAAAGGTGTAATTAAAGAGAAATGTTATAAGTTCCTTCTGTGGGATTTTGCAGCGGCACAGGTCATTTGTGATGGGGTAATCAACATAAGCTAATGCCGAGTGAATTTGAAAGATGGTGAAATGTCGAGAAAGCAAGAAAAAGATAATATTGTCTTCTGAATGAGTTTTCCTTAGCACGTGGGCTGAGTATTATTTATGCAGCCTAAGGAACTAAGACATGCCTTTAGAAAAAAACTTTACTAAACGCGAAGATTGGTCTCTCCATTGCTCCATTAGCTTCTTCCTAGTTGTTTTTTTTTGCAGTTTTTTGGCCGGGGCATATGGGGCCGGCACCCTACCCCTTTGAGCCACAGGCGCCGCCCACCTCTTCCTAGTTTTTAAGGTATTTGTTTCTTCTGGCTAAAAGAGTATGAACTCTTAACCTGTGTCTGTTCATTTCTTCAGAATTCTCTTTTACTCAAAATCAGAATTCCTAGCAGAGAAGTTCACTCATCTACTGATTAGAAGAAAACAGCTACATTCTGAGAGAAAGTCTCAATATGTCAATTTTCCCATGGATATTTGTATTTAAAATAATATGTAATCCCAAACGAATCTATCCAATTTGGTGTTTTCTTAATAGCTGTTAATGTGCCCAGTGGGTCCCCGCTCCAGTTTGCCTAAACTTAGTGTCATTTCTTTCACCGCATCTTAATCAAAGAAGTTAATCTGGATATTTGGGTTCCTTCTGGATTCATTTGTCTATAAACTTAAAGAATATGTTTATAGAAACTTTGCATTTTAGTCCAGGAAATAACATAAGCTCATGTTACTCTCACTTAGGTTTTAATTTGGGCCTAACTATACCTGGATCCTTCTCCTATATGAAAATCTGTTAACATGTAGTACGTAGACCCTTAAAAAATGCTCCCAGCTTTCCCAGTGTTTTCTAATTTTCCATTCTTTAAAATCAGTAATTATACGTAACAACAGAGGTATGTAGTGTTACTGATACATCAAAAAGACTATAAGCTTGTAAAAATCATTTTTATTTAAATTTAGAATGCAGCACACAATTCTGTTCAGTAAAATGTTTGTTCCTAAGTAGAATTTCCCTATGACTGGCAATATTTCAGAAGGATTCTTAATACCCAGAATTTTAAAACCCATGGAGACAACAGATGAGCCGGGATTAACTCACGTAATCTTCCCAAGACACACTTTCCTCGTCTATAAAATAGAATAATAGTGTTCTTTCTTATTTTACAAAGCTGTGTGAAGTAGGAGGTGTGAGAAAGAGTACTAGGCAAATTAAATAAAACTCTGCTGTTGTAAGTGACATTTACCAAGTATCCTTCCATTGATGTCAGGGAGGGGCCACTCCAGAAACATCCAAAGCAGCAACAATCAAGCAATTCAAGAAATTTCCGCAGGAATAGTACAAAAGAGTTGGCCACATACCTATATTCCATTTTAAAGGAAGCACTTAGAATTGCCTTGAGTGTATTATATGGGAGTTAAAAATAATGTTTGCAGTCTACTTTGAGCTATCTAAAAATTGGTTCTAAATGTTTATAAAGATGGTGTGTGGTAGGGTTGCGAGATTTCTGGATGTTAAAACAGCACATCAAGTCTTACCAAGGAGAAAGCTTCACACAGAAACTTAAATGATGTTACAAATAAAGTCTTCGCGTGTGTGTGTGTGTGTGTGTGTGTGTGTGTGGAGGTGGGTGGAAGGGAAGTTTGAGGCAGCTGCAGGCTCTTTTCCCCTCTTTCCTCCAAACTTCATGGCTTTCAATTTGCCAGTCGCAGAAGGATGAAGAGTTGAGTCTCTCCTGATAGTATTTGAAGCTGCGGTTCCACAGAGGATTTCACGCTGTGGTTGCAGGGAGTCTAGTATTTCAATTCCGAGGCTTAAGAAACTAAGCCGTCCCCTCCGGCTTTTGCACTGATGCTGTGAAATCCATTTGAGAAACACGCCCGTGTTTTGCTGCTTGTTCAAAGCTGTAAGCGTGACTTGGCATTAAAATAATAATTTCTTTTTCATAACTCCCCACTGAACTATTACCTAGCTATCTAAATATGATTGACATTTGCTCTTGTCAGTTTCACAAAATGTAAGCAATTTTTTATTTTGGCCCATGTTAGAACATCGCCAAATGGTATTTCTAATTTAAATCCAGTTTTACATCAATCTGGCAGTGCTTGATGTTATTACCTGATTGTATATTCTGAATGCTATTAGAGTCATCATACAGAAGTAAGTGTCGTCTTAATTATTCTCTAAATGAGAACAGAGTATTCTTCCATTTTGAAATGATTTTTCTAGGTCATGACCCCAAAACCATTTGTCAAATCAATAGCAGATTCAAATCACAAACTTTTTTTTAACTTTTTCACCTCTAAAAGTCATCTTTGTGACTTATAAAGACCAAGATTATAGAGTAGAATTGGCTTATTAAGTGATTTAGCCTCAAAATAAGTTATGTACAACATAATTTCAATGTGTAATTGTGATACTGGGGCACTGCTGTAATAAAATCACCATAAAGAGGATGTAGCAGATTATCAAACATGTTGGGACTTGCTTTTTATGATAATTGTTTATAACATTTTTAGGTCTTCATAAATGTAATCCATAGCAATAGTAGTAGAACGGACTTTATGAAGTCTCCCTATCACTTTAAAATCACTTTGACATTGTTAACTAATATCACAGATGACTTTAAAAAGGAAATTCAACAATAAAGGCAAAATTCTAAGGAAACAGCTTATGGTACTTTATCCATTTAAAATAACATCCACTTGTTGACCATAATTTAGATGAAAAAATATTCTAATAATGAATACATACATCCTGTGTATTAAGTAGTCTGATTTTTCCTCATGGTTCATATAAAGAATTAAAAGGAAAAATTATATGTGATTTAGTAATTTTTTTCATTTTTAAAAAAATCTTATTTAAGTACCTCTAAGTACTCTAGCCTTTACTGAAAATCACTGACCTCTGAATATTTTGGTAATGTATCTGTTTGGTGAAAAATCTTGGTATTATACATACTGTTGTATAACTTGCTTTTTTATTTACTATATCTTTGAACTCTTTCCATGTTATTAAAAATTTTTAAGCCTTTTTGTTGTGAAATGTAACTATGGAAAAGGGCATCAAACATAAATACGTATGTATAGAGATTAAAGAATTTTGTATAAAATGTGCACCCACGTAATCTATACTCAACAAATAGAATGTCAGCATCGAGAAAACCCCTAATTACCTCTACAACATTTTCTTAAAAAGACTTTTTTTAAGAGCAATTTTTGACTCACAGTAAATTTGAGCAGAAAGTCCAAGATTTCCCATGTATACCCTCTGCTCTTCCTGATTCTACTCCTTTACTTTAATGTCTTCTTCGATCGAAAAATTTGGGAAGAATAACCCGGGCAGCACACTGGACTCATCTTGGACCTTTTCCTCTTGAGCCTGAGCTGCTCCTGGTATTCTTTGTTCCTGCTTCGTCATACGTGGCTGGGTTAGTCTGTCCCATTCTGGGATTTAATGCCAGGGAGTCCATTTCACTCTCAGAGTAAGGGATAGCCTCTGGCTTAGTCTTTTTTTTTTTTTTTTTTCTTGACACAGTCTTACTTGATACCCTGGGTAGAGTGCCCTGGTGTTAGAGGTCACAGCAACCTCAAACTCTTGGGCCCAACTGATACTTCTGCCTTAGTTTCCCAAGTAGTTGGGACTGCAGGTACCTTCCACCACGCCTGGTTAGCTTTTCTATTTTTAGTAGAGACTGGGGAGGTTTCAGTCTTGCTCAGGCTGGTCTTGAACTCCTGAACTCAGGCAATCCACCTGCCTCAGCCACACAGAGTGCTGGGATTACAGGTGTGAGCCACCAAGCTTGGCCTAACTTAGTCTTTATTAATTATAAAAACTGATTGTCAGGCCTTTGCC